AGACGTCTTCTGCCAGGTCTTGTTATCATCACTTACCTAAGAAACACTGTGCAATACAGCATGCGAATGCTGTGCTTAAATTCAAATAATGAAAGCTGATGATGGCAGAATAAATGAAAAACCCAGTCGACCGCCGTCAGCCCGAACTACAGAACACGGAGCTCCCCTTGCCACCACTTTGTATAATAAGAATCCCCATAGACATTAACGTGACCCTGCTGAGGACGGTCTGTCTCAGGCAGGGCTAGAAAATCTCAGGTCCAAAAACACACCTGCGTCCGAAGATGACCGGCCAAGAAAGGCATCTTCCAGTAAACCAGGGTTTAACTTCTGGCAGCAATGGGGAAGCCAACTGCCCAGGGAACAGGCCCGAAACTGTAAGACCTCAGAGATTTCTCTGCGCAGACTAATTTACGAAAAGGGCGGTTATCCGAGCTGTGATTTCATTAACATTTTTCAAGGGCGAATCAGACGTGTAGGGCAGAGCATTTACGTGCATTTTTGTGTACGGTGAAAGGATCGCTGGGTTAATTGCATTCACTTACGGCGGGGATAGAAAAGACCCGTCTGCGCCTATTTAGACCTAAGACAAGTCATACGAATAGTCCTCAAGGTACACACGTGTGCACTCGTGTCAGCCCCAAATCCCAGCCCTTTCTTGGCCTGATACCACTGGCAAGCTCCCTCACAAGTATGCCAGCTGAAGGTCCAGTCCTTTGAGAGAGCAAGAACAACAACTCACCGGAGGGCTGGGTGCTCTGCCCAAGACAGCTCCCAAGTCACCCAACTGCCCCTTCTCCCAAGCCAAACACCGGCAGTGAAACATCAACTCAATACCGCACACAGAGTTTTGAGAGTTACAAACTTTTCCAAACGTCTCAAGGAACAAAAACCTTGGAAGAGATTACTGATGCCCTTCATGTTATTAGAGCTCCTTGGTGGGGAAATTGTGATCCTCAGTCTTGGCTGGATTCTCAAAAGAGATGAGAGTCACCAGCTCCTTTCTAAATTAAAAACATTCTCACTTTCTTTCTCCTCCTTCATGTTCCCCTCTCTGCTCCCCACCTTCCTCTCTTCCCCTAAGCTGTTGGTTGAGATCTGAAAAGCAGTTCATGAATTGCTCAGGAGCTGGCAGAAATTAATAAAATGAAGCTCATTTATATTGAAATGGACTCATTACCATGCCAGCTGCCAATAATTTGCAAGACGGGAATCTTGCTGACAAACAAGGTCCTACAGGCAAGAAAGAGGCTTTCCACCTGCATCCACCGCACGACAAGCAACCCTGCGATGTGCGTTCCTCACCTCCAAAGAAAAAGGAATTGTGACCATCTTATTTCAGATCCGCCTGCTGCTGCCCCAGAAAACTTGTCCAAAAGCAGAAAAAAACAGATGTGGCCGAGCATTTTATCAAATTTTCCATCCTGAAGCAGCTTTTCAGGAGTTCGTAACTCAGAAAAATCTGCTCCAGGCTGAAGCGAACTCTGGTCGCTTCTGTGAGAAACCAACTAAAACATCACCCACTCCCCATGCTGCCTGTGCTCCTCCAATAGAAATCTTTTTTTTTGCACTCATTTGTTAAAGAGGTGGGAAGACCCAAAGTGGATGTTTACAACTGGATAGTGGATTATCCAAATCCTCACTACACCCCGGTACATCAGAAGGGCCAGCAATATCCACTGCCACGAGCAGATGAGTACCGTGCACACAGAGCTCCTCCAGAAGAGAAGGGTTTATCAATTACCCACCGATTCTTTCCTGAAAAGGTTTGTTCCTATTAACTTTTGCAACTTGGAGAGTCTTTCCCAAATGAAACCAAGCCATACTTTTTGAGAAGAACATCAGTTTTTCATGTTTCTCTTTGTCTGACATTAATATGCACCGGAATGGTCCTCATCCCACGCTTCCCAGTTCACCCCGACAGCCCAGGCTCTGCCGCAGCAGAAATTCTGGGGGTCTGCAGTACTGAAGCAGCCTCAGACAAGGACTTCCCTCCAACAGGGTCTTGGCAAAAGGGGATGCCCATGCTTCTCCATCAGGAGGAAAGGCAGAAGCAAACACGATCACAGCCTCACAGTTTGCTTCTCATCACAGAGCCCTTCCCCACACAGGACACGTCTGCTCCTGTGGACACTTGCACTGTCAGTGGAGGCTGACCAAGGGGGAAGCTGACCTCATGTTCAGAGCACCAATAACTCACCAGTAACTGTTCTCAGGGTAGATGGACGGCTGTAAACAATCACACCTGCAAGAGTTCATCTTGCTAAAAAAAAAATGTCAGATAAAGATTTTCAAACTTCCACGCACAAGACAAAATATTCAGCTGACTCCTGCAAACATGCATACACACACACACATACACACATCTATGATGCACGTATGCCAATGTCTACATACGTCAGTGCAACTCCTCTTATTCTTTGAAGGTTTGGAAGTAGCACAGCTGTATTTATTTCATAGCCACAAAACAGCGCCTTGAAAAATCAGGCCAAGGAGTTCCCACAGGGCTCATCACACAGCAACTTAAGTCAATCCAAACTGAGGAAGCTTGCAGCAAACCACCATGAATGGATTAAAATAAATGCATAGTTAGGAAACAGAATATGTTACAGGAGAACCTTGTAACTCATCACATCTGTTACCTCTGATTCTAGATTTTCACATGCTAGGAGGAGTTTGCAATGTCAAGAGATTACGATGAAAACCGGCACACCTGTTTTCTTTTTGCTTGCAGACACCTAATAAGAACATTAATGGATGAAAAATATGGAAGCTGTAGTTTTCTGAAAGCCTCTTTTTCAAAGCAGAATCCTTCCTTTCTAGCAAGGAAAAATTAGCATGCAAGTATATCTGCCTGTCCAGTGAAAATGAAAAGTTGGCTAGAAGGACAACAGCTTTCTTTCTTTCTTTTTTTCAATTCTATTTTTTATTTTTTGATCTTGTGATGCATCGTTTTTGTTAGACTCCAAATGCAACTGCAGATGTGAGCTCAGTTGGTCATTAAGCAAATCTTCATCCAGCTTTGAGAGGCCCTCGGTAATTCTACCATAAACCACCAGGATGTACATACATGGACAGAAAGCAGTAGTCATTTCATACAGAAACTATTTAATATTCATCAGTGGCTCTGGGCTGTATTCCCCACCCACGATCCCAGTTTCAGCCATTGTAACTCCAGTGTTCAATCCTGTCTCCTGAAATGGAGAATCAGGCCCTTTATTTGTAACTGGAGGCCACATTTTGTTAGCCTGTATTACCTCTCGTTAAAATGAATTGCTGCCAAAATCAATATATCAAATCACCTACCCTGAGAAGCAGGTAAATGGTCTAGTATGCTCCAGGGTCCTGGTGCGCTGACAACTATGGCTCTCCCCATCCCATATCCCTGGGCTGCCCTCCACAAAATGAAAGGCTGCAACCCCAAGGAGGTGGGTGGCTGGGCGGGTGGGTGGATGGTCCATGCACATCTTTGTCTGAGAGGGCTTTCCATGGCGGGGCTGGGTGCTCGCATGGGGTTCTCGGTGTAGTCACTGAAACTATGTACGACACTGAGCTCCGAGACCTAGGGGATTGCAGAAGCTGGTTGACTTTTAAACCAGTGAAAATAAATTACAAGCGTGCTCCTTTTTGTGTTTTCTTTCTATGACATAAGAGATGTCATAGAAACCTTTTGTTTGTGAGAAAAAATAAATTTAAACTAACCGCCAGTTATAATACCTGTCAAAGAGAACAGCTGCTCCTGGAACTGGAGTCTGACAACGATGACCATCCAGACAAGGCTGGGGGGACCATCCACAGGTCTGCAAGAATTGGCCAGCAGAGCTGGAATTGCAAAACCTCTGTGCAACCATCTCACTAACACGCTACCTTCGTGTCTGTCAGGGTTAGGAGAACAATGCTGGGCGATTGCTCCAGATGAAGAGGAGAAAAAAGAAAAATAAACCCACGTTCTCTTTATGGAGAACTCATAAAGGAAAGATGTGGGAAGCCTTGTTCCTCCAGCTGTAGCACCACACCTAAGAGAATTTCTAAGGGAGGGAAGAAAAAGCAAAAAGGGAGGGAGAGAGGAAGGTCTGTAAGGAGACCTCAAACCTCCATATAGCCAACAGTCAACCATCCCCAAATCACAGCTAAAGAAAACAAAACCAGAAGCATGGAACTGACAAAGCATTGTGGGGCCTTGGTAATAAATTAATGGAAGAGAAGAGCAAGTAGCCCAAGGGAAAGCCCCCTCTTCAGGGTTTCTATATTTATATGAGGGGATGTGGATAATTGACACAGTTGCGGGTTTGTTTGTTTTTTTAATCATTTTTACAAGTATCTGAACATGTTTTAAGTCTTTCTCCTTCCCTACCCTTTTATTTTTAATGGTGGGAAAATCCCCCTTTCTCCCCTAGAGGAAATCTGCAAGGTTTTACACGTTTACAGAAAAGGGCAAAGCAGGGAAAGGATTCTAATTTCAGATCATCAGACATAAGCAAATCTATGGGAAGCCACAAGGACAACTCCCTGGAGCCTGTGGGGCAGACGAACAGCAGCTTGCACGCTGCGTCCTGGGAAGCGGAGAGGTTTTATAACCAGCGCTAAGCCACGAGGGTGCTGCAGGGAAGAAGGACCCCACTTGGCCCCCATGAAGGACAAGAATGAGAAAGGCAGCTACAAGGACTGCATGTGCACTTATCTGTTACTTAAAAAAAGAAAAAGAATGCCCAAAATGCAGCTGAAATACAAATAAGGTGCGGTTTGTTTATTTACCTTAAGGTTATGCATTATTGCTACTACACTTTGCTTGAAAAGGGCTTTCTGCTTGTGCCAAATGAGCAGAGAACTGCCGATACACAATGACGACGGGACACGCCAAATGCATTAAAAAAAACTTTTATTTTTAAGTAACAAGAAAGTGTTCAGACCAGGAGACGGGGCCCTGCACAGATCCATCAGAGCACTCCCTGTGCAGCGGAGGACGAGCGGTGCCCGCGCTGCTGGGAGCAAGGCAGCTGGAGCAGGGAGAAGCGGAGCAGGACACGGTGAGCCGTGCATGGACAGAAGAACCCCCAGCGCCACGGTCTCCAGCAATAAAACTTGAAACCCTTGGCTTGAGTGACCAGGGAGCCACTGCAGGCAGGATGGGAAGGATTAAAATCTTGCGGGGAAAAAATTAAGGCAAATAATTGGGGGAGGGGGAATTGGAGAGGAAGCATTTAGTGTGTATCCTCATTTAAGCACAGAGGTAAGTAATCTGATTTTCAAGCAGTGCCAAAGACCTCACACAGATCGTTAAGATGGTGCCTGAGATATGAAGACAAGTATCTAATTTTAGATACCCCGGACTTAAGTACCACGGAGGAATTCCAGAGGTCTACGGAAAAACACGCGGCAAATTAAACTCAGGCGAACGCACGATCAGGGTAGCTTTCACATTTCGGTCACACTCTCTGACGGAGAATGAGGTACCTCACTGAGGTACAAAAGCTTTAGAAGGTATGCTATATAATTAGTAGAAAGGACATAAAAGTAACAACAACTTCCGTGATGAGGCCACAAGGGAAGTATAATGCGGGAAAAGATCGAAGCGGAGGATGTCCTTTTAAGTTTATAGCACGCCTTGCAGAAGTTTTGGTAGCAGTATCCTCTCTCCATGAGCTCCTGCTTTTAAATCAGCACCTCGCAAGATTCAGCCTTCACTGACATTGTTCGCCGGGGCCACTGCGCTGGGCTAGGATGGAGAGGCCAGCAGCTGCAGCACTGCGGAGCAGCGGCACTGGGCGACTCCAAGGAGGAAAGCCACCTTTGCTGGGCAGAAAGCACGTTAAACATCCCATGCTTCCCAAAAATAAGAGAGCTTTTTGCCTGGCGTGTCAGCAGCGCCATGGCCGGGTTGTTCTGGCATCTCCAGCTGGAAATATTAGTGGGATAGGGCAAGGCGCAGGTGCTTGAGACAGGAGTTCACCCAAAAAACAGGACTACCAGTAGGACTACCAGCCTCAGCCCGCGCCGAGCGCTCCCGCCGGGGCTGCTGGGGAGGACGGGAGAAACAAAAAGGAGCCCCGAGTGAAGAGGCAGCCATGCTTCACAGCACCCAACACTGGGAATTACAACTACTGTTTGTTCAGAGCCGGGGAGGAGAGGCAAGCGAGCACAGGACCAAATGGCTGCTGTTTTCACCTAGCGTGATGATACCAACCACAACAGAGCAGGTTTCTCAGCCTGGCATTACCATAGTCTAAGCCCTCACCGTTTCTCCAGCACGCAGAAAAAAAGGAAACATTCATGCAAAACCTGGCTTGTCTGTACCAGCTTGCCACTGTCAAAGTTAAATTAAGCACTCAGATTTTATCTTGCACGCCCTGACAGAACCTGATCACTCAAACGCCATCGCAGAGATGTATCCGCACCGCAGTTAAGTTTATCTGGGTTTACCGGTTTTAGTCGCAACTCGTACATCACATCTCCTGACACAGCTTCTGCTGATAGCTCTTCCCCTGCGGGAGGAACACACAACACCAAAGGCCGCACGCTGGGTGTTGCTTCTTTAATTAAGAGGGGGCAAAACCCATGAGGGATGGTAATCTTGGGGGGAGACACCCTTGGGGCTCAGGGGGTGAGCCCCCAGCCTGGGAAGAGGCAGGCGGGGAGCACAGAGCCCTGCCACAGAGCGGGGAAGAGGACAAATCAGCAAAAGTTTTTGAGAGGAAAAGCCAAAACTACAAAAAGTCAGGCTAAGGTCATTTCGTGATGGAAAACTGAAACCCGTCAGCACTGAACGTGGCCTCAAAATAACATGGATGCTTTGCCTTCGTTTTCAGTAAGGGTATGGGGGAGCAAGGCATGTGTGAATCACCACATCTGAGGTATCTGAGGAGCAAAATTCAAAGAGTTTAAAATGTGCCAGTCAGCAGGAGTTTTGAATCTGCATCCCAAAACTATGAGAGAAGCGGTGCAAGCGACCACAGGGTTATGGACAAGAATTTTTATATTAAAACCTGCAGATCGGGATCCTGCCTGGGACTGGAGAACAAGTGATCCCAGCAATGACATACCCATCTGTCTGGCCTCAACGGCACGCCAGGCTGGAGAGCATATCTGAGAGACGGAAGAGGGAACGACATGGGAAGAAACGGGAAATGGAATAAAATGCAATATGGACTGTGGCACGCTACTCTGATGGCTTTCTGCAACAAGATGACCCTTTTTGCAAGGGAGGAAAGGGCAGAAGGTATCTTTCCAGGAAACTACTAGTTAAGCTGAAGGTGGCATAGGAATTAAGACATGCATGAGAAACTTTGCAAAGAGGTTGTGCTGAAAGGAGAATTATCTGGCTCAGGTAAAAGATTAAGTCTTTTAATGCTTTCAGTGATGATGCGCAAAGAATAAAATGTACCTGTGACATGTGCTGATAACACAAAGCTAGAAAAAGTAACAATACACAAGAGACAGACCTTTTGCCTCGTATTGATCACAAAGAACCAGAAGGTCCCAATGTGATAAAAATAACAAAAAAGCAAATGTAATCAAAAGATGCACCAAGCAAGACTTGCCCAGCAGAAACAGGAGTGAATGCTGCGACAGAAGACACTGACCTCATCTGGAATAACATGCACAATCTTCGTCATCAGTGGCAAAGGTTAATACGGGCCAGACTACCTTCAAGAAGAGAAAGGCAGACACAATGAAGAATAGAGCTTCACTCTGAGAGGCAAAAACAAGAGGACTGTCTCATGTGGCAAAATGAGAGGCTGCAAAAGGACGTGATTTATGTTCATGGGCAGAAAAGGGTAGGTTAAAAAAATCACAAATTCAAATAGTTGTATTCATAGTAATTTCATCCTGACAAAACAAGCAAGGCAAGGTTAAAATAGACTGTGCCTTCCTCCCGTTCCCTCTCCCCTTCGCAAATGGCCTTGAGACAGGCAGCAGTCCCTGGTACTCGGCTTAAGCCAGGAGACCTGCCTAAAAGCAGCCAGCCCCAGCGTGTGCATGGGATCTCCCAGGATGAGACAGGCACAGCAGGCAAGTCCCCCGGCCCTGGCGGCTGCAGGCGCAAGCTGGGGTGATCTCTTTCAATCAAGATGTATTTCAATGGAAGACCATGCAAGTTTTGCACACTAATTTCTCTTGGACAGATTAAACTTTGTCTCTAGAATAACAACACTGTAGTCGGTTGGGACACAAGCGTGTAGCAGAGAGGCAGCTTTGTGCACTAGCAATCCCAGTGAATCCAGCTGGCTTGCTCAGGTGATTACTGCCCTGGATTTTATGAACTGACCAATTCTGGTGGGATCCATGGACTGCAGCTGCATCAAGGCAGAGAGCTCACCCTTTCAAAAGATGTGAAACTTGAGCTCTTTCTAAGCAGTATGAAGAAAACAATAGGTTGATGAAGCTGGACTAATTCATCATAGTTTGGCAGGCACAGTAATTGGTTCAGGTTCTCCTATGGCTATGCAAACTATGGTCAATAAAGGTAAAATGTTACTGCTGGCACACATCAGCTACCTGGAACTAGTGCAGCATCAGCACTGCCAGATGACCAGCTGTGGCTTTCGTACCTTTGAGCTACTACGTCTTACAGAGCAGACTGCCAAAAAGTCGTCTTCTTTTGCAAACAATTCAAAAAGCATCACCAGAGAAGGAGCAAGAAGAGTTGTTCTGAATCCTAGGTGGGAATTTTCCAGCACCAGGCTCTCACTTTTCTCTTAGTGCCTCAAATTTAAATATTATATGAAAAGCATAAGCAACTAATTACAAGACAAACTTGTGGACAACTGCTCCAGGAACATGTATGTTCATATGAACAACAATGTAGTAACTCAAGAAAGCCTCCTGCAAAGGTGCCTCCCACAGGAGAGGTGGAAAATGGAGATTTTAGGCTCACCAGACAGAGGACTTTCACCCAGGCCTCCCTGGGTTTGGAGGAGTGACATCCTCTTGGGTATAGGATGGAAAGCAGCTTGTGGGTGCACGCACGCATGCAGGGGTGAGGGTGGGGAAGTCACTCTTTCTGTCTTTTATTAGTCCATCTGGAGAATTAAATTTTCCGTTGAAAATACTGAGTGAGTTGAAGTAAAATCCGCAGCTGTAGCAATCGACGGTGCCTTGGATCCTGACACGCGGCTGCCTAATCCCACCTGGGAGCTCCAGTGACGCAGTATCACTTGATGGTGGCCCTCCGTGGCTTAGAACTGGCTCCAGAGTTTCCTAGGTGTCCCAAGCTCACAAAAACCACATTTCAGTGAATAAACCATTCACCAAAAAAAGAATAATTGATTGCCTAGCCCAAAGCGAAACATTACTGGACAGTCACCCGGTAGAGCTATTTATTAGAGAGAGTGATACAGATGCCTTTTGACTGAAGCACGACCAGAGCGTTGGTGGAAAACTGCTTACCTGTCAGCTCTGGTTCAATGCCTTTTTTATAAAAGAAGGTCACTAATAAAATGTTCTGCCTTAATATTTGTAAGAAGAATATTTTTCTTACCTGTAGCTGTTACTGTGGGGTATAGTCACCTAAATGAAATATTATACGGTGCTAAAGTATTAAGCGGGATTGTTTTAGGAATACTAAAGTATGCATTAGAAATGCAAACCTCTCACGAGACAATAGCTGTAGGTGTTCAGAAATGCCGGCTGGTGAACTATCAGCCACACCATCAAACGAAGACACAGTAAATCTACACAGCACTTGATATTTTCAGCAGTAGTAAGTGTCATTCCATCATTTTAATGTTTCATGTCGGTACGTGGCCCAAAATAGTCCTAAAAGAAAATAACGAGTTTCCTCTTTAAATTTAAAGAGTGGTAGATGATTTTAGTAGCTGAGAAAGCTACTGATATTTTCTGTGGCATCATTCCCAGCCCAAATGAAAATAAAAATTGCGGTAACTGTACACATGGTGTGTTTGCGGGCACACTAACTATATTCACTTATGCCCCTGTTACAAGTGAGTTATTCAGCCCACCTGAGCTCACAACAGTTTCTGAATTCACATGAATGGCATCTGTCTGACAAAGGGAGCAATCTCCAAACTGCAGGAAAGACCACGCTTTCCCAAAAATTTCCCAGCACTGTTTTTGCCTATATTGCACACAGCCCCCACTGTGTTACTGGCTAAAGTGATTTTTACTCAAATGG